TTAACTTTGGACGTCTTGAACAATGTGGTTTTAAAGCTTTGCACAAAAAGTAAAACTCCTTCAGTCAGTGAAGTTCATCAGAACTCATTTACAAAGTTAAGAATAAAGTAAAGTTCGTTCTTCTCTCTGTAAAGCTGCGTTCACGTGTCTAAACGGACCTGAAGTGCACCGTTACTGAGAATACACCGGTACAAGTGTATGAGACTTTGAGTCACTTCCATTCTACACGTTCCTCACTGCGGTAAACAAATTTCCCTCCGGAAACCCATCACCTGACATCGAAGACCAATCACGTCCTTACACCAACGGACCAATGAATAGGGGGCTTTGTATGGCGGGAAAATGCACCGTTTGAAACATCTCTAACTGTGGTTAGTAGTGTGACTGCCAATAAATACCTCGCTTTACAAAGGAGCGTCCCTATTTTTCGGGGGGTGGGGGGCAGGTTTGCAATGAGTCTGTTTCCTCAAAGGGGCCCTGACATAAAACGTGTGGGAACTACTGCAGCGGTGCAGATGCAGAGAACCTGGTTGTTATCAGTAGTTAGTAGTGTGATCACGTGACGCCCCCTGGTGGATGGAACAGGTATCGTCTTCTAGTTGAACATCTTCTCCCTGATGGACACCCATTGGTCCCCAAGCTGCTAGATATGTCCCATCATGCCTCATAACGTCTGTCCTTCACATGTCCTCATTGTTTATTCACAGCGTAAACAGACTCCACAGCACTGGAGTACACGCACACGCGTGTTCACAGGTGTTCTACCACATATTCATGTACTCACAGAGGCCTAAAGTACGGCCCTCCTGACTTAGACGAGGCAACAGGGTGAACGCTGATGATCTCGACTACTGAACAGGAGGACGAGCGTCTGGAACAACAGTCCAACATGTTTCACACTTTACACACTCGCATTTCATAAATCACCTCATCTGGATTTCGCTGCTTGATACACTTTTTGTTTTGAACCTGAGTGGTTCTTGTGGTTTCACCCGAGAGACGATGAGACGAGAGGACCCGGCCAGCAGGCCGTCGGTCGCTCAGAAGTCAGCCTACAGCTTATTTCTCTCACTTTAGAGAACTCTCCTCAGGACTTTTCAATGGTCACTAATAATCACGACATGTAGCAGCATTAACAACCTCTTCAGTGATCACATTATGAAATAAAAGAGTGTTCACTGTATAGACAGAATGCTGAGAAGTGTGTGTACCTTGTATGCTGTGTGTATTTAATCTGCTTCTCTCTTAACATTTACCTTCATGTGACACGTTTGTATTATTGAGGATGGATTTGATCACTATGTGACTTATTGAATTAATACGACAAATGAAGAGACTGATTTGAGTTTTTAAGATGCTTTATTGAAAATATATATATTTCAGTTTGGTCACACTTCAGTCTGTAAAGATTGTGGATTTCCTTTGAATCTCAGTCAGATTTAAAAAAACAAAAAAACAAAATAAAAAACACTTTCAGTGATGCAGGTTGAGAAGTTACACAATGACACAAATGACTTTTAACGTCCACTTTCTCATCCATTCCTCCAACTTACGTCTTATATATGATATATAAATATATAAGATCATTGATCCTCTCACACACTGATGAGCAGCTTCCTGCCGTCAGTAACTAATATTCACTCCATTCTCACTCTGTGGTCACAGCTACAGGAGCCATGCTGGGTTAAGTGTCTTGCTCAAGGGCTCATCAACACGCGGGTCAGCAGGGATGGAACCGTTGATCCTCTGGTTGGACTCTAAACCCACAGTCTCCCTGACACTTCCTTCTCTAACCTCTGCGCCACGACGACCCCGTTGACTTCAGTCAGAACAACTCAGACTGTTTCTGTACAAACACTTGAAGGATCAATAACTTGAATTGTGTTTCTGGTGTATCGTTTGTTCTGCTGATCACTGGTCTTGTTTGCAAAGCAGAGATGAAATAAAGGAACCAGTAGAGCTGCTGTCAGTCCCAGTACACAGTAGAGAACAATCCTTCTCAGTCTGGTGTCACTCGATGTCTCAGGTTCGGGTCGATCCTTCACTGCTGCAAAGAGACACAACAAATCTGTTTATTCATGTAAAGAAAAAGGTTTATTTATCTGAATAAAGCTGCTGAATTAAACGTGTTAGTAAGTTTAACTTAATGAACCTACAAGTGACATTGAGGTGACATTCCTTATAGTTCATCCCATAACTTGTGAGCACTTCACACCAGTACAGCCCCGAGTCATTAGTCTGGAGTCTGGAGATGTGAAGTCTGAGTCGTCCTTCTCTGAGGACGTCTTTGTCCCACTGGACTCGTCCTGCAAAGCGTTTATCCTGCAGCTCTGGGATCTCGACACCTTTATACAGATTAAACATGAGTGATGGTCTCTCATCAGCTACCATTTCACAAGTGATATAAAAGGAGTTGGGGGAGGGGTCCGTGCTGGTGGGGAACATCCATTCCAGTGAGATGTTGTGGTTCTCCTCTGCATGATACCAGCTCTGTGTCACATTCACTACAAATGACCCTGCTGAGGAGACAGAGAAGGAGAGGAGGAGGTGACAAAGTGACAGCTTTAACATGGAGCCTTTAGACTCCATCTCCAGATGTTTCTGAGGAGTGTGTGCTGATGCTTCACAGCTGCTTCACAAACACAAAAGTGAACTGACCACAGACACAGGAGGTCAGGATGAAGATCACCAGGATGCTGCAGATCATCTCCTCCCTGTGAGAGGAGACAGAGGAGAAGAGGCTCAAACATCATCATCACACCAACAATCTACAGTGTGTCTTCACATCCTGATGTTCTTTGTGTTCTTCATCATGCTTGTTACAAACACACAAAGCTTTCATGCTGATGACAACGTCCCTGAGACATTAGACACGACCACTGTGACCTCTGACCTGTTATATGATAGACTTGTTAATAAGTCACTAGCATGTGTTATTATGTTATGTTTGCTTTTCCTGTGTCTTTCTGCTGTAACACAGTGGTAGAGCAGCCATCCTGCTTGTGCATTTCTATTTTGTGGTTTTTAGTCATTTTTTTTGTGCTGTGAATTGATTGATTTGTTTGAAGTGGTATTCTGCCTCAGTTTTGTTTTTACACTGACTTCCTGGATGGTACAGTTAGTCCCACATGGTGTATTTTATTAGGGCCTGAGCCGACTGAAAGTCGGGCGAAAGCCCTATTGTTTTTCAAATAATAATAATAATAATTATTATTATTATTATTATTTATTGTGCTAAATCGCACTTTTGAGGCCTTTAACTTATTCAAAAACTCCTTTTTTTGGCGTGCTCATCCGAAGCGCGAAAAATTTCGATATTCTCCGGGTCGCCCATTTGGGTATGAAAAAATGTCTCTCTAGCGCCCCCTTTACATGTGTCATTTGTTTTTGTTTTTATAGCTCAAGTAATATTTATTTCGTTGACTCACTTGTGGAGTTTATTTATTTGTGTATCTAATGCAATAAACGTCTCTGGCTCCAGTTCATTCTGGCCTGTAGAATATCTCCAGGTCACAATTAGATGAATACATATTGTCTTCTGTGTTTTAATCCTTGATCTTTTAAATCTGTACTTTTTATTATGACAGTCTGAACACATTTGTACCACCAACACATCACACCATATTGACCGAGAGACTTGTCAGAGTTACACGGAACTCACCGTGCACGGATTTATAAAGCCTTTTAGCCAGGACACGCAGCTTGTTGTGTATGTTGTATCACTCGGTGTCCTCCATGGACGGTTCTCTCGGCGCGGAAGCCCGACGTGAAGTCCGGTGTTTAGTACGAAACACGACGGCGTTAGTTGGTCCGACGCGAGAAGAACTTCAACAGCAACAAAGTCGGCGCGACTTTAACGAGGAGAAACAAACATGGAGGCTGAAGAGACGCAGCACGAAGGAGAATCAACGTTACTTCCGCTTTCGTTTTGGACATTAATTATTTACTAGAAAATACAGCTGTTTGTTGACGGATCATATTCTGATCTGTCTTCAATAAATGCGATCATTTGAAACTTTAATTCTCTTTAATGAACAAAACAAACATGATTACCCGTAAATATCTGGTGTAATTCGTGAATCCTTACAAATAAATGTTAATATGATCATAACACCGATATTACGTCATCCTCTCTTTACCGTGGACGTCTTGAGTCCTGAAGCTCTTCAACACGTAAACTCCTCAGTGAAGTTCATCTTAACTCATTTGCAAAGTTAAGAAGAAGATAAACCACCAGCACAACGAGACGGTTCTTTCTATGTTTCTCTGTGAAGGAGAAGAGTGACGTCCTGCGCGCGCAGAGGAAGAGGAGACAGAATGACGAAGTTCACACAAAGTTCATCTTTCACAAATCAGCCAGTTGTGTCAACAGTGAGGAGAGAAGCTTCCTCAATGCAGTGTTCATGTTCCGGAGACAGAGAAACGCGCACATCCTCTGCAAAATAATAATAATGTTGTAACGGATCCCGCATATGAAAAGACGTGGAACTTACTGCTGCTGAATTTACTCCTTTATTTTATTTCTTCCGTCAAAATAACATCTTTTAATTCCTCCGTAAAATACTATCGTAGAACACCACCGTAGAGCTTTATGCCCTTTGTCATACCGAGCATGCAGCGCCCCGAACTGGTCCAAAACTGGGCATTTTAAAGAGCCCAGCCAGCTGCAACCACTGACGAGGGTGTGGACCTCCAGGTCGCAATCCTACCTGAAAACACACACACACACACACACACACACACACACACACACCCACACACACACACGCAACTACAAGTAATCCCCGAATCAGAATCATTTTACGAACCCAGATTTCTGGGGACGTAACAGAGAATTGAAATATACAAACAAGGACACAAGTCAAACCTGAAAAACGATAGTTTTATTCATATAGGAATCCATGTATTTATCAGATGATTTATTGGTTCAACTTTTTATAATCATGTTCAACCCACAGAGACTGGGCCAAAATATACTGGTGGGCCATTCGAACCATTTGCTCTACAAGTTTTCAACAGCAGAGGTCATCATAGAGTTTGCGATGCATTGAATGAATGAACCTTTTTCCGATACAATTGGCTGGAAAGCTTCACTGGTTCGGAAAGCTTCACTTTGTCATCACTACCTAAGTCCCAGCACCGCTTCGTCTCCCTGACACTACCATACAACACCATCCTCTCCTTATCATACCTCCCACAGACAATCAGTACATGCTCAACCGTTTCCGCCACCTCACCGCGAAACTTATAACCTAACATCGAAGACCAATCACCATCCTTACAATGAACCAACGGACCAATGAACCAATGGACCAATGAACCAACGGACCAATGAATAGGGGGCTTTGTATGGCGGGAAAATGCACCGTGTGGATGGGACAGGTATCGTCATCTAGTTGAACATCTGCTCCCCAAGCTGCTAGATATGTCCCATCATGCCTCATAACGTCGGTCCTTCACATGTCCTCATTGTTTATTCACAGCGTAAACTGACTCCACGGCACTGGAGTACACGCACACGCGTGTTCACAGGTGTTCTACCACATATTCATGTACTCACAGAGGCCTAAAGTACGGCCCTCCTGACTTAGACGAGGCAACAGGGTGAACGCTGATGATCTCGACTACTGAACAGGAGGACGAGCGTCTGGAACAACAGTCCAACATGTTTCACACTTTACACACTCGCATTTCATAAATCACCTCATCTGGATTTCGCTGCTTGATACACTTTTGTTTTGAACCTGAGTGGTTCTTGTGGTTTCACCCGAGAGACGATGAGACGAGAGGACCCGGCCAGCAGGCCGTCGGTCCGCTCAGAAGTCAGCCTACAGCTTATTTCTCTCACTTTAGAGAACTCTCCTCAGGACTTTTCAATGGTCACTAATAATCACGACATGTAGCAGCATTAACAACCTCTTCAGTGATCACATTATGAAATAAAAGAGTGTTCACTGTATAGACAGAATGCTGAGAAGTGTGTGTACCTTGTATGCTGTGTGTATTTAATCTGCTTCTCTTAACATTTACCTTCATGTGATACGTTTGTATTATTGAGGATGGATTTGATCACTATGTGACTTATTGAATTAATACGACAAATGAAGAGACTGATTTGGGTTTTTAAGATGCTTTATTGAAAAAATATATATTTCAGTTTGGTCACACTTCAGTCTGTAAAGATTGTGGATTTCCTTTGAATGTCAGTCAGATTTAAAAAAAACAAAATAAAAAACACTTTCAGTGATGCAGGTTGAGAAGTTACACAATGACACAACTGACTTTTAACGTCCACTTTTTCATCCATTCCTCCGACTTACGTCTTATATATTATATTTAAATATATAAGATCATTGATCCTCTCACACACTGATGAGCAGCTTCCTGCCGTCAGTAACTAATATTCACTCCATTCTCACTCTGTGGTCACAGCTACAGGAGCAATGCTGGGTTAAGTGTCTTGCTCAAGGGCTCATCAACACGCGGGTCAGCAGTGATGGAACCGTTGATCCTTTGGTTGGACTCTACACCCACAGTCTCCCTGACACTTCATGTCACCATTGACTTACATTCATGCTGTGATGTGTCTCAGCTGGACTTCATCACATTACAGGTCATTTAGCAGACGCTTTTATCCAAAGCGACTTAGATTACACTTTAAACCCATGGCTTTTTTTCACATTTTGCCCGGGGAGCAATTGGGGTTAGGTGACACTTCATGTCACCATTGACTTACATTCATGCTGTGATGTCAGAAGGTGAATCAGTTTGGTCCTGATGAAACTAAACTAACTGACCTTCACACACAACGAGGGCTCAGCGTTCACCAGCTGGGCTCCCTGAGTCACAAGTGTCTCTGTAGACTCACTGATACCTTCATGCTGCTGTTGGTCCATGAGACACACGGGAGACATCCAAAGATCCAGATGTGTCTCAGCTGGACTTCAGTCAGAACAACTCAGACTGTTTCTGTGCAAAACCTTAAAGGATCAATCACTTGAATTGTGGTTTAGATGTATTCTTTGTTGTACCGATCTCTAATCCTTTTGGTAATGTAGAGATAAAATGAATAAAGAACCAGTAGAGCTGCTGTCACTCCCAGTAGTCCCAGTGCACAGTAGAGAACGATGCTTTCCCTTTCTCTTCTCAGACTGGTGTCACTCGTTGTCTCAGGTTCGGGTCGATCCTTCACTGCTGCAAAGAGACACAACAAATCTGTTTATTAATGTAAAGAAAAAGGTTTATTTATCTGAATAAAGCTGCTGAATTAAACGTGTTAGTAAGTTTAACTTAATGAACCTACCAGTGACATTGAGGTGACATTCCTTAAAGTTCTTCCCATAACTTGTGAGCACCCTGACACCAGTACAGCCCCGAGTCATTAGTCTGGAGTCTGGAGATGTGAAGTCTGAGTCGTCCTTCTCTGAGGACGTCTTTGTCCCACTGGACTCGTCCTGCAAAGCGTTTATCCTGAATCTCTGGGACCTCGACACCTTCATACAGATGAAACAGGACTGAGTGTGTCTGATTAATTAACATCTCACAGGAGACATGAAGGACGTTGGGGGAGGGGTCCGTGCTGGTGGGGAACATCCATTCCAGTGAGATGTTGTGGTTCTCCTCTGCATGATACCAGCTCTGTGTCACATTCACTACAAATGACCCTGCTGAGGAGACAGAGAAGGAGAGGAGGAGGTGACAAAGTGACAGCTTTAACATGGAGCCTTTAGACTCCATCTCCAGATGTTTCTGAGGAGTGTGTGCTGATGCTTCACAGCTGCTTCACAAACACAAAAGTGAACTGACCACAGACACAGGAGGTCAGGATGAAGATCACCAGGATGCTGCAGATCATCTCCTCCCTGTGAGAGGAGACAGAGGAGAAGAGGCTCAAACATCATCATCATTGTTATAACGCGGTGCTTAATCATAAACACGAGGACACTCTTCCAGGTCTCACCTCACTGGGTTGTAAACTTTAATACATTTTCACGTCGTGTGTACGGTCCATCTTGCTCGGTCTGGTTACAAGGCAGTGTTTCACAATAACAGTCCGTGTGACTCACGGAACTAAACAATAGTTCCTACTTATAGTTCCTATTGTTACATCCTTTCTCTTTTCAGAGTTAGAGCTGTTATCTCAACATTTGGCTGTGACCAACAAGCAAGATTATAATACTGACACTGACACTGCTTATTGCTAAATTATAAACAATTCAATATGCTCATCTATAAAACCTTCTCTCAGCAACTGATGAACATAGCCTATAACAAACTAAAAACACAGCATCACCAATTTCACATTGAGATAACACTCAACCATTCGCTAAGAACATGAAATGTGCAAATGATCACAACAATATCCAATAAACCATAACTTTTGCGCTTGTACACTTTTCACGTGTCAGGTGCATGTAAACATCAGCATTCATCTGCATGATACCACACAGTCCTTATATCGCTGTGGCTGCACCACTGTGCGCCCGGCTCTGGTCGTGAGACAGGGGTGTCTCCGCCACCAGTGTCTCTGGGTGTATGTTCTGCTGCGACACCGTGAGGGACAGGAACAGACTCTGCAGGTTCATGTCTCACAGCCTGTGGCTGACTGGGAATGCTGATCTCCATATTGAGAGGGTCACTAAAGGTCACACCAGGTGCACGCCTGAGGCGTCTGCGATTTCTCCTAATGACACTTCCAGATTGCAACTGAACCTCATAGGACCTCCCATCAACTGGCTTCAGCACCCTGCCTAGTCTCCAGACAGCGTTGGGTAGGAGTGGCTGTATCCTCACACAGTCACCCGTGGCAAGTGTGTCCAAGTCTCTAGCTGATCTGTTGTAGTATGTACTCTGACATTGGTCAGCTTCTGGCTGACCTGAATGACTTCTGGCCTGAGCAGGGTTGCTTTCGTTGGCAGCAGTGTTTTGGTACGGCGACTGAGTAGTCGCTGTGCTGGGCTACTATCCAGGCCCGGTGACGGTGTGTTGCGGTGGTCCAGAATTGCAAGATAAGGATCCTGTCCAGCTGCTTTGGCTTTCATGAGAAGTCTCTTTGCCGTCTTGACAGCCGATTCTGCTTTGCCATTGCTCTGCGGGTAGCCAGGTGACGAGGTCACATGCTGAAATCCCCACAGTTCGCAGAATTTTTGGAAGTCCTGGGACGCGTATTGTGGGCTGTTGTCTGACATCACTGAATCCGGAATGCCTTGGCGGGCAAAATGAGCTTTCAGTTTCTTTATCACTGTAGTGGATTTGGTATCTACCAGGTAGTCTATTTCCCAAAAGTTCG